TGTTATTTCCCCCATAGGGGAGAGAAGGAAAATAACGTGCAAATATTTGTTTCCTGTGTTAATACGCTACACCACAAACAATGACTACCTGCATTTTATTTTAATATTAACTTTGACACAAATCGTTTATTTATATATATATATATATATTTTATTTTTATTCCGAAAAAAAAAAAAAAGAAAAAAAAAGAAAACGATATCAGAAAGGAAGAAAAAACAAAAAAAACCAAAAAAAAAAAAGAAAAACAACATTAATTAAAACGTAGAAATTTACTGTCCAAAATCGATCCCTTTTCAAAAATTGATATTAAAGAGGGAAGTGTAGTAATGCATCGTTGTGGTAGATTCGTTCTAGAAATTAGAAATAACACAACAACAAGTAAAATTTAAAATCAAATAAATAAATTAATAGAAAGAGAAAATCGTGAAAAAAATCGTATCGATAGCGAGTCGATCTTATCGGACAACGAACGTCCACTTTGCTGTCTCGGTATAATAATTATAATAATAATAATAATAATATAATAATAATAATATTATATATATAAAAATAATAATAATAATAATAATAACTAAATAATAATAATAATAATAATAATAATCATCATTTTCTTTTAAGAATTTAATTTCTTCGCTAAGATTCGTCGCGCTTTTTCTATTATCGAGAAAAATTAAATTAGTTGATGACATTTAAAAAGAAGACACGAATTAAAGAATAAAAAATAGAAAGAAAAAAATAATGAGAAAAAAATCACACACACACATACAGACATACACACACATACATACATACAGCATGCAAGGCCTTAACGCATTGTTTGCTAAAGATATCAAATTATCTTTCTCTATTAAGCGTAAGCTTCGTAACCCACCCCCGCCCCGCCCCCCTCTACACCCCCGTTTGCCTGCTGCTCTTCTTACCAACAATTGCAATCGAAGCGACACACGTTATAGTTCGCTGCGTTAATTAATAAGTAATATAATATTAATGATTGATGAGATAGACGATGATACCGAGATTAAAAAAAAATGTGTGCCGAGATTAATATTAATATTATATATATAATTATTATTATATTACCGTGCGCAAAAAGATATTTGCAGTTATCGCTATATTATATTACTATTTTATTATTATGATTATTATACGCAACGTTGCCTCTATGTTAGAATTATATCATTTATTATCTTTATCCACCGCAGAGAAAAGTTGTGAAATTTAAGAGATTCCATTTAAAAAAAAAAAAAAAAAAAAAAAAAGGAAAAAAAAAAAATGAAAGAATATACGGCGTAACGAAGTGATACAAAACGAAATGAAATGAAAGCGAAAAGAAAAAAAGAAAAAAAAAAGGAAATTACAAAACGGAGAATAAATCATAAAAATCGAATATAAAACAAAATATAAAATGAAATAAATAAATGATGAATAAAGAAAAAAAAAAAAAAAAAGAAAAAGAAAWAAAAAAACATACTACAAACCGAGAGAAAATATTATGAACGTCCTTCGTAACATTCTCCTCCTCCTCCTCCTCCTCTTCCTCCCCTCCCCTTGTAGCCCCACCACCCTCTTTTTCTGAAATATAATTAAAGGAAAGATTTCCATCGTAAGAAAAAGATTGCGACGAGAATTGCGATCGCAATCGTACGCAGAGGATGGAATTTCTTCTTGTTAATCCTTTTTTTTGTACTTCTCTTCTTTTCTCTCTCTCTCTTCTCTCATCAAGGAAGAAGGGAACAGCCAACTGCAACTGCAACTGCAACAGTCACGAGAAGTGTTCGCGTGTGTAAGACCCGGGGCCCCGTTATAAACAGCCAATACCAAACGAATCGTCGTCCTTGCCACATATGGCGAGAAGGCTCTCCTCGAAAGAGTAACATACGACGACAAGTATCAAAATGAACACACACATACATACACAGAAAGAGAGAGAGAGAGAGATTTTATGCGTTTTCTATTATTCCAAGTTTTTGTATTTAACATTTCTTAAATAACAAACCCTAATTTGTATATATATTCCATTTTTATGTGTACCAATTAGAAAAAAATATATAATTTATCTGTATATATGTGTACAGGATATGCAAAGTAAAAAACGTAAGTATTTATTACAACATTTGTTACTTTATATGAAAAACTTGAGATCATTCGCTTTTTGATAGTTGAAATAAATAGACAAAAACGTATAGCAACACGCAAGTAAATCCTATATAATAATATTATTTATTATTTCATTTATATATAAAATGAATAAAAATTAGATATAATAAATTAACTGTGTGATAGAGAGATAAAGAAATAAATTAGATTAGAATGAAAAGGATTAAAAATAGAATTACGAGAGTGCGAAGGGTTAATTAATTAACTTAGATGAATAGAAATAAAAATACGATATTGAACGTACGATCGGATAGGGTTAATTACACAGACAAAGAGAAAGAGAAAGAGAGAGATGAAGGAAAAAATACAAAACAAAAAAAAGAATTAGAAGTAAAAAACGAAAAAGAGAGAAAGAGAGAGAGAGATAAAAAAAAAAATCTTTGAGAAGGATAATAAGAAGAAGTCGTTTATGCACGGCCATTAAGACGTTAACAC